AGAGAGAGAGAGAGAGAGAGAGAGAGAGATATGGAGATATGTCATGTTTGTATACACACACACTCAAGTACAAGGTATGATCGACAACAGAACACAGCAGATTTCATTTCTAGATTTATGCTGACCAGTCCTAGTTCTCTTAAGGTTGGCAGTCCTAGGATGGCTTGTCCTTTGTCCTCCGTCACATAGAATGTGGCGTTTTCTTCCTTCTCCTTGTAGGAGCACTTGATTTTGCAGGTGCCGTATTGTTTAACTTGACTTCCTCCATACGCGGTTATTTTGGTTTTGGATCGGCCTAGTTCTGCTGGTTGTCCACGACTGTCGAATTTCTGGGGGAACATTTCCTTGTATAGTCTGAAGGGCAATGCATTCCCTTGTGATCCAGTGTCGATCTTGACTATGAGTTTATGTTTTGTGTTCCTTGAGTTATGAAATGGAAGTTGGGTGCTTAAGGTTGCGAAGGCTTCGTCCTCTGTTTCCACTGAGTTAATTTTGAGTGTCTCAAATGTATTATATTCTTCATAATCCTCTTCTTCCTCCTCATCCCCTATCTCGATTTTGTGGGTCTTCTATTTAGTTTTCTGCACATCTTTTTTGAAATGGTGCAGCTTTCTGCAGAAATTGCATCTGGTGTCTTGCTGGACATTGCGAAAAAGGGTGAGGGGAGTTGCCGCAATTTGGACAGCATTTTTGAGGTTTTCTGATATTGCTTGATTTAGGAGTGTTTTGTGGGACATGAAATTGTTCGAGTCTCGATCTGTGATTCTGTGGGGAAAATCTGGGCTTGGAACTACTGGAAGGTGCTTCAACCAATTCAATCAAGGAACGACTCCTCCAGGAAGATGACCCTACTCTAGAAGACACCCTCAAAATCCCAACAGAAAATGTGCTACCTGCTTATCAACATTGGACAGGAAGGCGATGTCATGATATTTTAATGTTTACCGTACACGACCTCATTGTTATACTACCCGTGTTCCAGTGACCTAATAACCCTCTCGCTTTTAGTTTCGCTTTAGTCTTTGTTCTGTTCGCACTTCGAGTCAGTGTTCCGGCCGCTACATGAGCCATTAAAACCTCTGTGCCTTATCCGCTGTGTTCTGTTGTCGATCATTCCTTGTACTTGTGTGTGTGTGTGTGTGTGTGTGTGTGTGTGTGTGTATACAAACACGACATGGTGTCAGAAATCCAGACGAACCAACACACCATCGAATTCAAGTCTTCAGGGATCTAAGTGCTAAATTCTAGAGATCCAAGGAAAGATCGTTGCATGCTCGCAATAAAGGGTCGAACACCCCTGTCAGACCCAGATTAAAAGAGTGACACTAAATCACTCCAGAACCTCAAGTGCCTCAAGCTCGATCTACGTCTAGAATCTATAATCCACCTGCACTAATAATAATACCTGAAATATTCAGGACCATGTAACATACAAAAATTCCTCCCATGAACTTTGATGACCCAAACCTGTCGGGCAAAGGAGGGGTGATGAGTTCTGTAGTAGCTGTAGTAGTACAAGTAGGGCCTAGATATATGTGTGTGCGTATGTGTGTGTGTGTGTGTGTGTGTGTGTGTGTGTGTGTGTGTGTGTGTGTGTGTGTGTGTGTGTGCGCGCCGCGTTGAGTGTGTGTGTGTGAGAGATGGAGGGTGAGGAAGAAGATACATGTAATGTAATATCCAAAGGAAAAATAAAAGCCAAAGCCAATACATGATTGTACGTACATATCTCCATGTCTAAAAAAGGGGGGGGGGGTGAGAGGAGAGAGAGAGAGAGAGAGAGAGAGAGAGAGAGAGAGAGAGAGAGAGAGAAAGAGAGAGAGAGAGAGAGAGAGGGGGAGAGAGAGAGAGAGAGAGAGAGAGAGAGAGAGAGAGAGAGAGAGAGAGAGAAAGAGAGGCAGAGAGTCAAGAGAGAGAAGACAGACATACAGACAGCGAGGGATCCATTTTTTAATGTCATCTTTTCAGTGCTATTTACGTCTCTTTCTTCATCATTTCAATTTGTTCATTCTTTTCCTCATCTATTTGATATCTCTCTACATTATACATGTATTGTAAATAACTGCTTTAAAAGAAAAAATACGTATTTTGACATGCATCATATTGGGCTGCAAGATCCCTCCCCCCCAATCCGTACACTTGGACTGCTCCAGCTTGCCACTGTAGATTACGAACTTGGCCAGTCAATACAAGTTTAGGATTTGAATCCTTGTGGGGTCTGAGAAATGTTTCATCAGTCATTCTCGGAATGTTTCCTCTCAGCCCAGTGTCTACCTGTGGGCTAAATATTATGCCTTTGATAGGATCAACTGTTGTATCGATGGTTTAGTGTTTAAGCTGTTGGGATCACAACCAGAAGATAGTGGGATTTCAGGGGAATTTGTACTCAGCTGCAGGTCTTGTCAGTTTGTTAAAGTTAGCTTTTTTTATGCTTCATCAGCTACAGGGTGATAACCCCCCCAAAAAAACACACAAAAAACAACAACTATACAAACTAATTCTAAAAAAAATATCTCGCACAAAATTTGTACTGGAATGTTGCATTTTGGAACAGATACAATCCGTTCAAAAAAAATTTGTTTGACATAAAATTCACAAAGAAGAAACATTTTTTCGAAAACGGAAATCGCCTTTATAAAAACCACATGCAAATGCACCAATTTAATTAAAAAGATCTTGTAAGGAAAGTCATTAAATGATTGGTTTGGTTTTTCCTTTCCTTTTATTAAAAAAATCTAATCTTTCCATACCTCTTTTCTCCTACGGTACAGAGTTTACATTTTTCTTCTTCTGGAATTCAGAGAACCAGTGGTCTATACTATATGTTCTCATTTGGGCTCGACACATTTTAACGCTTCGTTCGTAACGTTCAGTGGTGGCAAAACACAAGGACCCACTCAACCATGAGTACTCGAAGCCACACACACTGTACACTTACAGTACAGTTTTTTTAAATAAGTGTTTTACAGCGCTCGCAACTGCATAAGGTCATATGAGCGCACGGGACACACGAGACATTTTCAATTGGTAAGAAATTTTGAATATTGCCCGCCAAATCCTACTTTTATCGATTATGGACCACCAAGGGATCTTTAACGTGCGCAACTTGCACACGCGACCTCCGACATTTTTCGCCCTTGCCCGAGAAGGCTAGGCGTACATCTTTTCTACCAGATGTTAGTAGAGGTTTTACGGCGCTCGGAATTGCATAAGGTCAAATGAGCGCCAGGAGATTAGAGGTGTTACAAGAGAATACCAAACATAAAAAAGAAGAAGGGGAGATAAGGACGATAGATGTTTGATAGGAAAGAAGAAGCAAACCACACCAGAGCATCCGCCGACCACCCACTTCCTACCAGAAGTTCAGGGGGTGTAGCTGAAAGACAGCAGTAAGACTAAGAGTAAGAGGAGCCAAGGAGTAGCAGTAGAAAGGCGGAAGAAAGAGTCAGGAGACCGGAGGAGGGGGTAAAAGAGGTGAGGAGGTGGGGGTAGAAAGTGGGGACGGAAGCAGACGACAGAACACTGCTAGAGTGCAGGAAAAGAGGTGAAAGGAAACAATTTTAGGGAAGAAAATGTTTGAATGTTTCCGTCACTACCTGAATTCGAACCCGGGACCTTTGAATGAGAGGCGAACTCCTTAACCTCTAGGCCACGAGAGCCGCCCTTTTGATATAATCTAAATGTTGTGTGAAATGCAAAACTTCAATGTGGAGGAAAGTATTAACAAAAAATAGTTGTACACCCTGCTATTTGCACTGTTTCCTGGGAAGCCGAGAAAGTTTCTGAGTGTATAAGGGTCTGCTGTGGCCATAATATAGATCATAAAGCTCATAGAGCTTGAACTTGATGTTGAACAGGGATTATGCGCTGCACAAATGCAACTTATTGTTTATTATAATTACAATGTAGCCTACATGTCTAGATTGACTCATAAATGTTTTCATAAACTTCACAATCAGATGATTTAGGAGGCTTACACAAGCTGGACAGAATGAGATACAGTATCCCAGCAGACAGACTTGGATACTTTACTTTATAAAGATCCTTCCTCATGAGAGAATGAAACAAATAATAAAAAAGTTTTCTGCATGCAATGACAAGGAACTTGGCCATTTAATTCGTCTTCAGCAACATTAAGCAATTAGCCCATGCCTGCACGAGTGTGCCTAAACGCAATGTCTCTCACCTTTATTTTGTTTGTTCTGGAAAGATAAAATATATGACAGACACCTAGCAGGCACATGACAGGAGCCAGTGCTTAGACAGCCGACCTTAAGAACAGGTTCGACTGTATTTTCAATAATGAACGAGTAGAAAAAACTACAGAGAAGTGTACAGTAATCAATGCATACATGAACTTTGAAGAAAGAAAAGCTACACCTTAATGACATGTTATATCAAATTTTTATTGGGTCCATCGACATTCAATACAACACAAAGCAAAACATTCATCCTGACTCTGCATGTAAAATTTGTTTAAAAAGAACAGAACAGTTGCTACCGTAATTTTTGAAAGTCAAAGTGGAGCAGATACAACACAAATCCTGATAATCCTCAACACAGTACAGGGGGTGTCGCATTCAACGAGGCAATCCTTAATCCCCAATTTTTTCCTCTATACCTCTTTGCAAATGCATGTTAGCTCCAACGAGGTAGCAAACAGACCGAAGTCGCTTTCAACGAGGTCGCGATATCCAAATAAAAGCAATTAGTGGCCCCAAAAGTGAAGAATTTTTCTCCTTTCTCTCCATCTTACGCGAAGCACAAGGCCCATCCTCCATTCCTAACACATTGTATTGCTATCTAGTGTGCCTCCTAATGCTAATATGGGCCCCAAAGCCAAGAGGATGGGCGAGGGTTGGCCTATGGTAAGGATGGGAGGGGGTGGGTGGGAACAAAGGACCTTACTGTTCAACCTCCTTGATGGGAACGTGGCGCGGGCTGTGTGGAATGAACTCTGGATGGGTAGGTCTAGATCGAGACCTTCATTTAAAAATATTTTCTTTTCTTTCCCTGATCAGAAAATCCAAGCTCCCGCCTTTACCTTAGAAAATATTAAAGAATATAGAAATAGCGGTCAGAACACAGCTCAAACACGCGCACACTGATGCTGTTTGAGATTTTCGTCATCAGGGGGAACAGTATTGGGTAATATAATAACTCGTCTCCCCTTTTTCTTTTCTTTAGCCTTAGTCGCGTTCACCGAGAGGTCGGATCCAACGAGGACAACAAGCCGGTTCCGGCAACCTCATTGAATGCTACTCCCACTGTAGTCTAGGTCATCTTTCATTTATTTTACGACAAAAAAGAAAGAGTAACAAATCATTCATCGGCGAGATCAGTTTTACTCTTGAGAAAGAGCATGAACAAAATAAACTACACATCCGATGAAAGAAAAACCTTAAAAAGGAATGAGAGATCAGATAACATTTAACTTGTTTATCCTTTTATCTTTCCCATCATTTTTAAAAATCCAGGGGGAAAAAAAAACTATTCCTCCAATTCAAATGCTTCCCCCCTTTTTTCTCCCTTACCCCCCCCCCCCATCAAAACAAAACATAACAAAACAGGACAAAAAAACAAGGACAGAATTCATTCTGAGTTCATAGAGATTCTATCCCAGGGAAAGCCTTGGCCATGAACTTACAGGGGAAAAGGACCAGCCATTCTTGAAGACAATCGGAGACACGAATTGTGATGAGTGGAAAGAGCCTTGTTGATGCTTTGCTCCAAAATGGGCCAAAGGGGTAAATAAGTAAATAAATAGATGTGAGGGCAAACAGGACAACACTCTTTCATCATTCACATGAAAAGAGAAAGTGTCAAGATACGAGAACTATTCAGGATAAACTTTCACACTTACTCATGTCCCGACACAGCAAACTTGCATGTAACAGTAACAGCATCAAAGTAATTCCCAAACATACTCTCAATCAACCTGATAACAATTAGAAATCTAACTTTTCACACTTTGTCTACTGACACAAAAATAATGCTCCGAATAATGTTGTAACAACATGGAAATTTCTTACTTAGTAAGAAAAATTCCAATTCAAAGCAACGTAATACCTGCTGCTCCCCCAAGACACAGATATTTTAAAAAAAAGAAGCAAAACATCCCAACACC